TTATCAGCGCTCGTTCGGCCACACACGGAGTACGCCGTTCAAGTATGGAATCCATAGTTAAACCGCGATAGGAAGACTCTAGAACGTCCGCAAAAGCTGGCAACGAAATTGGTAAAAGGTCTATATATCAAGACATTATCCGAAAGACTGCAAATATTGGGACTCTGCTCATTCCAATACCACCGACTTCGAGGGGGCCTAATATTGGCATATCACATACTGCATCAACCCAATCACCTTTGCCGTTCCCTGCTGACTTTATCTCATAATGATCACCTCAGGGAACATCCAATAAAGGTGAAGGCCCAGAACAGCCACCTTGATTGTCGGCATCACTCGTTTGCAGTCAGAGTGTGCGACGTATGGAATTCTCTCCCATCTGATGTAGTGTGTGCTCCTACAATTGAACTATTTAAATCGCAACTTGATAAAGCATTGGAACACTTAAAATTTCAACATCCGTGAGCGGTCACGCACATTATTATCATTGTTATTTTCTCTTTGTGAAGTTATTCAAAACATTTTGTAAAAATTCTATGGGGCATGATAAGCTTTAGCTTTGTTAAAACGCCCATAATAAAACTTTAACTTTGACTTTAAATAAGCAGAATATAAGGTGTTTGATATTTCATATTGATATTTCATGCGGTTGCAGAATTATTGTGAAATTAAGAAACGGGAAAACAACTTCATGCAGTTTCCATACACACAGACACGGGTAATAAGTGTCATTTCAATTCAAAGGCATTCGTTTTCTCTTTGAAGGTGAGAATTAAAAACGAATCACCAATTTGTGTGATACGGTTCGGACTCATTCGTCTTCAAGACAACCAATGATAATTAGAAAGATATTAATCTGCAATAGAAAAGGCGGGGCCATAAGAACACGATAGTTGACTTTATCTTCGTGCAGTTAGAAAAGTAAACACTTTGTACCAATATGTAGAAATTATAAATGGTAACAATACGGTACCCCGGATAAAATCAAGTGATTAGTTTGATGGACAGAGTATTTTCAAGTAGACCTAGGGAGCTTCTAGTAAATTATAAAGTAGTCTAGCACAAAGGTAGTTAATAGGGGATAGGGCACCAGTATCAGTAGGTGCATAATTCATTTTAAAAATATGCTCACACCATTGCACAGAAACAAGCGCGGTGACGCAAATGCACGATCGCCGTAATCTGTGTGTTCAGTGTATGGGCTACGCATGTTGTCCGACAGGAATCTTTAGCATTCGTTGTATGGTGAGACAAGCGGTGGTCGGTGGGAAAGATATTGAAGGTATAAAAACCTTCGTTACTGGGATAACCCCTTGGGCAAGTAGTTGAGATCATCAAATTATTGCCCAGGAGGGCATGGGTTCGAATCTCACCATAAACGCTGCCACCAGCTTTCCTCATTTGCTGCTGTATGATGGTCCTTTAATTGATCGCATCCTCTTATCTAAAAGCCATTTGTTGCGATATGTACTCAATAAAATGAATTAAAAAGAAAAGGAAATCCTTTAAGGCCTAGTTACGCTTACCGGAAAGAAGCCGAAGGATCGATGAGAAGCAAACGGGAAGGTTTGTAAATCGACTAGAGTTTGAAAGTGGCAGAGGTATTTCATCAATAAAATTTCATTCGTTTACCTTTTATTTCGCCACCTCGCACTTGGGGAAAAAGTTATTGGAATACTGAAAATGATTTGATTGATAAGTGTCACCTTCTGAGCCTCGATAAAGAATGCACAAAGGGTCCCACATTAATTTTACAGATTGACATCATGACTTCCCGATTCATATGATTTACAACAAAATTAGCACACTCCGAACAGGGAATAATCGCATAATCAATTTGCGCGTAATATGTTAGAGAAATGAAAAATTGTCAAGATGAAATGCATAACCAATTAACTGAATGAAAGCAATCGTAACATAAATAAAATTAGAAATTGCATTGATCAAAAGAAACGAATTCACTGATTTATTTGTTCATTTGAATTAACCATCCTTCAGACTTCAATTTTTACGCACAATCCTCAGTTCATCCAGTCTACATACACTCGGAAGCACGAGACTCGAGTT